AAGCTGCTCCATTCAGTGTTTAATTTAAAATAGTTTGTTAATACTTTGAAATCTTTTGACTCTGTAGTTTTTATCGACAACAAGAGGTAGAGAAAGAAGCAGTTGATTTATATCAAGGTCCTTCCATTGAATCATTGTTGATGAGGCTTGACACGATAGGAAAAGAGGAAGAGGCAATCAGAAGAAGGTGGCAGGAGGTATGTTTTATCTGGTCTTACTTCAGCATTTAATTTTAGTTAGTTACTGATATCAAGAGAACTCATCTATGCCTTGATATGCGATCGATAGACAAAATTTTACTGATTTAGTTGGTATTAATTCTTGGCTCATTTTCTCTTGAATGTTTTGGAATATTTAATTATTAGTAAATGCTTCTCAGCAATTTATTGCATTTTTAGATCAACTACCTTGATATGAAACCAGAAGATCACACACCATCAACATCTGTTAAGGATTCAGCACCTACCAGCCCACAGCCAATCAACTTCACAAAAACATCAACTTCAACTGCTAGTGATCCCCCAAAGAGGTGTGTAGAAATTTTTGGGGGGAATTATCTAAGATATATTAGAAGTATAGTTGGCAACTTTGTTGTAGGATTCAACATTCAAGAGTATAAATGCATAAAAATATACTTGCCAATATATATTGAATTTACCCTGGAAGTCATATTTTCACAATTATATATTTACATAGTCACAGTTCTATTGTTATTTGTTTTTCTAAAAACTTTTCTTGTTGCTGTTTGGTTTTCTAATGAACATGCCCTCTCAATTGTATCCCTATATATATTGCAGTGGTGCAGATATTTGCTGAAACAATCGAATGCTTCAATCATAATATATTAAGGTGTTTGCTATATTAACAGTTTAGTCTAATTCTTACAAAGATTTTTTTCAAGCTTATGCCAGACATATCAGTCAAAAGGTTAGGGTCGAATAATTACAATGACTAACTGGAAAGTCATCACATATTTCTAGATCTGCTCAAGCATGAGTTTGAGAGAAGACCATATAAAAATTAAATGATGAAAATTATGATGCACAAGAATATTTATTAATCCAATACAATCGAACTGTTCGTATTAGAATTTTCTTTTCTTCTTCAAACAATGAAAAATATGCTCTTGCTTTCAGAATTGTCAATTTTCTACCTCAAGAAGACTCTGCTGAAATTCGACATGAACCAACAGTGAGGCATCTTCAGCGTGAACTGGTATGTTTGAAATATCACTTCGACCCCTAAAAGAAATTGTTCAACTTTCAATATATATTGAAATTATAGTATAATTTTTTATTTTTTTCAACAGGCGACAAATAAAAGTCGTCCATTTACTGGCAGAACCTTGATCCTTCCGGATTCGACCATAAATGCTGTGAACAGATGCAAACAACAGTATGAACGACATTTGAAATTCACATTCCACGAACCCAGAGGAAATTTTGATCCATGGAAACTTGTGGAAGAGTATGTTTACATTGTTTTTTTTTCTTTAAAACCCAGAATGGTCGGTGATCATAGATATTGAAGAAAATCATATCTAAAAAAATCTCCTAAATAATGTATTGACTATGTATGGTGTCTTGATACCTATATTATTTTAATGCTTTCTAATGTATTTTATAAAATTATTTCTATGTTACTAATTGAAGATTGTATCTACAAAAAATTGCCTGAATATCATGCAGGTCTTAGAGAACTCGGGAATAAGTCTGAGCAAATTTGTTTTTTTCACAAATTTTGTTTTATCTATATTTTTGGAAAAAAAATCCAGAATGAAGCTTTTACTTTTACTGATGACGTTTCCTAAATTTGCTTTATACAGGTTATCTGACAAAGTTTTGGACGAGGTGATAACCTCTGTCACGCATGAGGTAAATGGGATGTGTGAAGTATATGCAAATGATATGTTTCAGAGAGAATTTGCCAATGCTTCGCAATCCAATGAATCTTCTCTACTCATGTCAGACAACTCATCATCTCTATTATCTTCTGAATCAACATTGCATAAACCTTGATTGTTCAATGTTCATATATATTGCATCGTAAATGCCAAGCTGATTTGAAAGTCTATGTCAAGCACAGATAGATGATGGAGCATACCTGTCTCCGTTGCACCTAACTACCTAAGGTTCAAAGCTCTACACTGTATAAGGATTGAGTACTCCTGATTGGCTTGATCTGGGATGTTTGATGGACCAACTGAATGTTTATTGCTATAAGTTAATTTGATTAACTGTTGTAAATGTTATTGACATTCAAACACCCTCTCTATTATTATGATGTAAAAGGTAATGCTACTCCTGCTGAATACCAGTGTTAAATTTGTCATATTTAAATAGTAGTGTTGATTTTAACAATAATTTGAACTATTCTTTTGAAATCCCATTGTTTTGGGTAAATAAGATTCTTTCCTTCTTGAAATCCCTCTTTCCTGAATTAGATAAAAATGAACTGTTATGGTATTATATTTATAATATGGCTTCAAATAATGAAACCAAAATTCATAACGGTTGCCTGTTTATTTCAAGCATAACCTCATTCTTTTTATTACGCCTTGTGTCCATCCAGGAGGTCACTCTCAAGTTTTAATATACAATATAAGTAGGGTGATCTGCAATACATTCAACTTTGTAGACTTGTACTCGTTTTAACATTAGAACGGTTTATAATTCAAACAAGTACATTGCAATATCATGTAATATACGATGGTAGAAATTATTCAAATATCGATTCTATTTTTATAAATAAAGATATATTCTTGTAAAGGTGTGACTTATGTATCGTAATGTAAGTTTATATTTAGTTTGGCATTTTTTTTCTAAATTGCGATAGCATGTTGGTTTCTCATTGTTGTCTGTTCATTTTTGGGGACATTCATTTCCAGTCGGGTTAAATCAGCAGTCATAGTCATAGTCAAGTTTAGCAGCGGTGACTTTGTCTAGAAAGAAAAACTCGCGAGACTTTGAGAAATACAGTATTCTGAAATAATATAATTATTTCTATCCGCTTTCGTTATCTCGCCCCATTTCGTGAATCACATCCTACGATAAAGTACAAATATCGCAGAAATATATCCAACCCATGCTTTGTGGGGTATAAAGGTGGAAGCTTTCAGTGCCTTTTTTAAAATTTGATATAAGAGACGATATTTCACCAGATATTTTGCTGATTGAATGGGAATATTCTTATTCCGTACTTGTACCGAATCGAGATCTTTGCCTCTATATATTTGAGAATTTCTCATGTTATTATACAGAAATCGATTAGCACCACACTCATTAACATTGTGTGCGTTTGCATTTTCAATTCATTTCTGACAAGACTCAAATAAAGTGACTATGAATATAGGTTCACAATTTAGTATAGATGATATACTGAAATTTCTATAGTAGCCTACAATCATTAGCAATTTTTGTGGTGTGGCATCAACGTCTCAACTACGTTTAAATTTCCACCTATGTATAAGGAGAAGGATTAAGGAACAGAGCTAATATAATAATTAATATGGTTAACGTATTGGCTCGAATGGGAATATAGGTTTCTATATCGGCAATGTGTGTTAGATTGTGAATACTAATTGTTTCAAAACATGTATGAATGTGTTATTGTGACTATTAATACTAATTACGTAAATCGACGTTAATTGTATTACCTCTGCCTCTAATGAATGCTAATTGAAAAATCAAATTCAATGGGCTTTGAACTTGTGCACTATACCGACGTTTCAATTTATTGTTTGCTAATTAGACAAATTGATTTGAAAATCAAAATTACTTTACGTCAGAAAAAATAATCAGTAATTTACAAAAATTATGCGATCATAACGTCGATTTGGCTCTCGTACCGATGTTATTATGGATACGTTCCAATATTGGACTCTGCTACCACAGCAAGATGTTAGTCATTTTTTTGTATTTTTATATATGAGCATAGCAAAACCAAAATTCTAGTTCAAAGTCATATAAAAATAACTAAATATAAATTCAATTCACAATCAATTTACGAGCGTCATTAAGAACTTGATAATTGAATTAATTCTTTTGATTACCAACTTTATTGTGGACTTATTTCAGACATGGTTGTGGTTGTACGTAATAGTAAAAGAAAGATTGGCCACTATCAAACTCTAACCTACGCTTAGTGTGCTCGAACAGGTTCAGGACAACTTGAAGATAAAACTCAGCGTATTTTTGTTTATTGGACACGTAGTGGACATAACGATCGTTTTGTTATTATGTTGTTCTTTGTATCAATATAAAGAAATCGCTTTTCTCTTTGATTACTGGACCAATTGCTTTGAAATTTTCAGTGATTAAAGAATATACTTTTTGCTACTTTTGCTTTTATTTTTTGTTATGAAGTCATCAAAATTATGTGGCGCTACGTGTCCATATATTTGAGCATAGTTCTCTTGTTGTTTTAGGAAATATTTGGTAATAGTGATCTACTGCGCTAGACTTTGAAATGAAGTTCTTAAAGGTTCATATTTCATTACTTCGTGGCGGCGACTCCGTTAAAATTTAAACATCGAATTTTGACGAAGCGTATCATAACTGTACAGTCACGTGTTAAGGGGTCCAAAATTGACACGAAAACTATTAGCATTCTCATAGGAAGAATGTTTTTAAATATACGACTTACTAAGTGGCTATTGTATCATGTTATTTAGAACATATTTTGGGAAATAGTACCGTATCGCATCAATTAGTCGTCTTGGCAATTGATAGTCCAGTCGATGGATACTACGCGGGTACCACGAGTCGCATGGTAGCGAGTTTGACAACGATTCATTCCCTTGTCGACCATTGTCCATTTTACGTAATGTTCTAATCCGTGGACACCTATTTGTAATATTGAGACACTTTATTTCCATGGGAAGCCAGGCAACGTTAAAACATATAGATGGCCTGATTGGTATATGAGTAAATGAAGAACAATAAACATTATGTCATGGAGTACTTTATATATATATATTAACATTACTACTTCTTAATCGGATCATTCAGTCAGTCAGTTAAAGAGTGTATAATATTCTGAAATATTTAAAATTGATGATATCGACAATGTATGGGGCGTTGGTTCTGCTGGGCTGCCTAATCTGTAGCAATGTAAGCATGTCTCAATTTTTTTATCATCCACCTAGCAATAAACCATAAATATATATATGAACTGGGAAATAATTTTGTCGCATAATATAAGTTTCACATTCTAAAGCCACGATTTTTTTATTGTCAAATTGTGAATTAAAATTTTTCATGTAAATTACCCTTGATGACAAATTGAGTAAAATGTAAATCTTAAACTGTCACTATCAGTTTCTGTGTGTTTCTTTGTTCTAGGCATATTCGATTCGACCGGACGATGGAGGTACCCAGGTAAGCCAGTTAAATGCTGTAAAACTACAATAACGATGAAAAGATGTTATTTGAATTCTCCACATTATTTAACAGATTCCATTAACATAATATTCTATCATTTTATAAATCAAAAAATCGGATGGCAAACCGCATTTATCGTTTGCAAAATTTATCTCTCGCGTTCTACCCCAAATAGCTTAATGTTCACTATCATAAATAATTTCTGGCAATTCGTCATTTTAACCGTGTGTGAACACGTAAATTAAAAACATGAAGAATTTGAGGTACCATTTAAAAGTTCTGAAAATGAGGAGTCTTCTCGGCAAATTATCTTAAATTGTCAGGCTAAAATGGTCAGCAATGCTGCAAGATACACGCTTGCGGTGGCAACAATAACGAAACGAATCAATTACGACGAAGAAGATGAAGCCTGGAGAAATATAAACGACTGCTTGGAGGAAATCAAGGAAAGTGAAGATATGATGGATAGATTGCTGGATTGGCAATATTTAACAGAATTTATTGAGCTGCAAATCACGAAATCGTTGAATTTTAACTACGAAAAGGAAAAGCACACAGCAAGCGAGTATTCCAAACGATAATTACCGTATTCAAAAAATCATATAAATCCATATCACCTTTTATTATAGACTAGTCGATTATTATTTACCAGGAAGTAGATGAAAAATCATATCTGAGTTCTTGATGTAATTATAATTTTGAATCTTTATTTCACTGAAACAAACATTGAATCAAGTTGATAAACATCGTTGAATTGATTGAAACATTTCACTTGGAATCATTTTAAAATTTAAATTAATTTTAATCAAGCTCAGTAGGGTAATTTAAAATTCGGACCAGAAAACGGCCAAATTACAAATTTAATTATCGTCGTCTGCTGTATTTAATAGTACTACCACCACACACTCAAAATAATTGGTAAAATACTGTAGTAAAAATCTAAAAGTTTTCTTTTTCTTATAGTTGATGGATAGTTGACTAAAATCTCAATACGCTTATAAAGTTAAATTATACAAATTAAATATTACACTCCAGGTATCGGTGGCAACGGCAAACTGGATCTTTTCATTCGCCTCACACCAGTGAAATATTGGGACATCCTCGAAGGTAAAGGATCCTAAATTTCTAACATTGAATCAAGTCTGTGATAACATTCTCAAACTGTTACAATGCAATTAAATGTCTAGCAACACAGTATCCTATTCCACTCAACATCTGGAAGCATAGAGAAGCTGCCGCAGAATTACTTCTGCAAGCTTGTAACGATGATAAGACCGAAGACAACATGCTTCATGATCTACCAGAAGATGGTATTTGTTTTTAACTAACTTGACACACTCCACCCCCTAGAATCGCATCAGTTGCCCTGGCTTTAAAAAAAAATAATAGTCAATAAAAGTACGTACTGAACCCACGATAATGGTCTTGAAACTGCTAATGGCGTGATAGAAATGAAATCTTCAAAAAAAACGTTACAGATATAATTATTCGATAATTCACTCATTGGAATACAGATCAATAATGTACGGTGCACATAATATTGTAGGTAATAATGTTTGTTCATTAACCTTTCTACATTTCAGTTAAAGATATTCTGGGAAAAGAGGAGATCAGAAGAATATTTAATGCTTTGCTGATAGATGCATACGTTAGCGATGCCTTTACAGGTAATGGGCTGCTGAAATAATTAAACGTGTCTTCATCGTAGCTTAAATATTCACGCAATAACAACTCATCAAATATTGTGCCGTATTTACAAAAATTCATTAAACGTCTATTACTGGGTTTTCCCGAAAATAAGACCTAGTCTGAAAATAAGACCTAGCCGGAATTTTAAAAATGATTTTAATATAAGCCCTCGCTTTAAAATAAGACTTAGTCGATAGCGCGAATTTTTTTTATTCAGTCGATAGCAGGAAATCTCCCCTACCTCTTTTTTATGATTTGTAATTTTTGAATAATCTATGTTTACCAGTTTTTTTTATTTTTAAAAACGTGTTATTTAGAAGTAAATGAATATCGGTTTCCATATTTTGTATATTTAAAAATGTCGTAACTCTCTGCTTGGTACTTTTGTTTTGAATAAATGAATATAAATGACATCACCCCCAATATAAGCCCTAGTGTTCTTTTCAAACAACGTGTTCTGTCTTTACTCTGATTGATTTATCAGTAGGCGCTGCGTATTCAAGCGGTAAATATTCAGCAGGTAATCCCACGCCTTAAGCCAGAACATTATGTACTAGATTAGACTTAAAATAATGCTTTTCGAGTAAGTTCGAGCAGTTACGTATTTTATATAAACCAGAGGAAGACAAGGCAAAACTGTCAGAGACAACAAAACGCTGGCAGTTGGAAAAGAAATGGAAAAAAATCGCCGATAAGATTTTGGCTTCAGGTACGTGTATAAAATAATAAAATAATTTGACTTTCTGTCAGATAATGGCACAATACCTTGTGGTTTAAGATTATATGTATGTTACAAAATTAGAAAAGTACCTGAAAAACAAAACGCTATTTGTTTTAGAATGATTTTAATCAATTAATTTTATTTTCAAAATTTAATCGTCAAAATATTGTAATTAGTAGAATACGACTGAAATTTCGAATCGCCGTCGAATGTTATTGTTTTTTTGGTACTCCTGAAATATGCGCACCAAGATGTCGCATACCCTGAACCCGTACTTCGGGAGGTCCGTTTTTTGTCCGCCAAAGGTCGAAGTGAATTCCTCATACCTTATTGAAGCCATATTTTTTACAATGCAATTCTGACATATGACCATTTTTCTCCTGTAGTGAGTTATAGCAACAAAAAATCACATACATTTACATATCTTCGAATATCTTGAAGTATTCGAGATTCAATTCGAACAATACAGGGTGTCTCAAAAATAAGTATACACTTTTAATTTTGATTTGTTTTTCAGGCACTCGTCATAGAGCGTTCATTTCTTCAGAAAACATAGTATGAATAAGTAGTAAAATTTACGTATTGTTTGCATTTTTACCAACCCATAGAATGATAAAGACATTAGCCCAAGAAATGAGGTGCCAAATTTCTGTTTGTCAAGAAGCATATAAATCGGTAAGGCAAACTCAGCGCATCTTTAACATAGAATTTGGAATTAATTCGGATATAACACGACGAATAATTTATGCAAATCATTGTAAATTAATGGAAACTGAATCTGTAGATGCTGCTCAAAAATCGGGAAGACCAGGGAGCGGATGCTCTGAGGAAAACATTCAGAGCCGAATTAATTCCAAATTCTCTGTTAATGAGGCTCTGAGTTTGCCTTACTGATTTATATGCTTCTTGCCAAATAGCAATTTTGCACCCCATTTCTTAGGCCATCTATTTGTCATTCTGTGAGTTGATAAAAAATGCAAACAATACCTGAATTTTACTACTTATCCATACCATATTTTCCAAAGAAGTGAACGCTCTATGATAACTACTTGAAAAGAAAATCAAAATTAAAAGTGTATACTAACTCATGAGACACTCTGTATATTCCATTCGATTCTGGAAACATTAAATATTCAAAAATTCCCAGCTCGAGTAATCAGGTGAACAGTTGTGGAAACCAAAGTAAAATTGTAGTGAAGTTTTTTTTTCAATCGATCTATTTGCAGACTCTTATCTTATGACAACTTGCTTGGATCAAAGTTTGGCATTCGACGAAGAGAGAGAGGTTGATAGAAAGCTGCGAGAAATAGCAAGTGATCTGGGTAAGTTTTTATTTTTATTTTATCTGTCAGTTTGAAGTTTATACCAATGGTATTTTTTATATTGTCAATTCAGGCGTCTACGAATGCGAACCAATCATAACTGTGCAACCGGTTCAATTCTTTACGGCAATGCCCCCAGTGCAATTGATGTTGGTAGAATTTTCTGCTGCAGCACCTGTGCCACGGAGAAGATCGGTGTTGCCACCTCCGTCAAACATCAATAATGATGACCATGACGATGGTCCTCCACAATCCCCAGGCAGAGTTAGGAATTTTGCAGCACCCTGAGATATTTTGAGCTCGATAACATATCATTTTTTCCTTAGCATTGTAGATGTAGTTTTGTGTGTACGAAGGACAACTTAAGTCGTAGAAATCATAAAATAATAGTAGAAACAGAGTTTAATATGTTATTGTCGCGTTAATAGCGCATACGTCGAAGCTTAGCGGGTGTATTTCCGCACGGTATACTATACATATCGAAGTCCAAAAGTCTAGAATTCGTCAATCAAACGGACAAATTAGGGAGTAAAGCAACAACAAAAAAGCGCGTGATAATGCACGCGTTTGCAATATAGCGTCTGATTGACTGCTCTCCCTTATCGGTGTGATTCATTTGTAGGTGAATCAGTTCACGATAAATAAAACGATCAGTTTTATTTTTAAGTTTTTTACCCCTAAAATGAAGGCAAAATTTACCGAAAATTTCTTAGAATGTATGTTATGTTGCACACAATGGTCGTAAACAATTAAATAATCCTAAGCACTGCGTCTACTGTTTATTTTACGGCACTTCGAATCTATTCCATATCTAGGCGCTGTCCCTATTTTTTGGGTAGTTAACAACCCAACTTTCTACCTGAAACATTTCGAAGCGTAGAATTACCTGTGATAAATTTCACGAATATTGTAGTATGCCGATATTAAAACACTTTTAATTGCTATATATTACGCAGTGGAATATATTCAAGTCATCAATTATATTTATGCTTTTTTGCTATTCAGTCTATTTTAAACGAATTGAATCTTGGATATAGTCTATTGATGCAATTTTGGAGTTCAATAAAGTTATTACACATGCCAAAGCTAGATATTGGAAGCATTTTGACGTTGTTTAATTAAAATTTGGTTACATCTCTTGCTCAACCGGTCCACACAATTTGTTGTTTTGAATAGTTGATGAACATCGTAACAAGTAAATTCAATAAAAGTAGTAAAATTTGCATTTATTTTTTATTGATTGTTTTTTAGTATATATATGTCAGGTAATATTTACACACCTAAAATATTAGGCTCCGAAATGATGGCTGGTCACATGGGTCGCGATTACTATGTTCAAAATACCAAAATCTCAATGGTTTGAAAGGGCCTACCAAGTTATGGATGTTGATATTGAGTTTAATTACCTGCTGAAATAGATAGAGAAGAAGGACGGCCCATTCGCCGAATCACTAAACGACTAAAGTAACCATCGCGCCCAGAAAAACTAATTTTTAGTCTTAATTAGCGCCAGCTTTGCTGATTATTAAAAACAATAACAAACCAGTTAAGTTTATTTAATTCCGCCGCCCATATCCGTTTCCTGCCTATCGATAATAAACTCGAAAATTGCAAAGTGCTCGTCATTGAGAGCAGCCAGCATAGAAATTTATACCAGCATGAGCAATTGACATTTCAAATGCAAATGAGATAAAAATTGAAATTTTAAAAATGTACTTGCTTAAATAACAAGAATGCAGTAGTTACAAAAGATGAAGTTCTGTTTCAGTGCCATGAGATGTAATTATGAGCAATGAAACAAAACAACAATTTAAATGTTGGGTGAGCATAAATAAAAGACAACTTTAAATTTTGTAGCGCCTAGTGGCAGAATGTGTGAAATTCAATGGATATTTGTATGATTTAACGTGGTTGAAAGGTAGCTACATAAGATGTGTACACTTTTTAATTCAAAGTCTTTTCCTTCGAATGAGTTCAAATTTCTCTAGCCTAATTGGAAATTGATTATAAATCTGCCCACAGATTTGTGATATATGTTACAAAAACTGAGTCGTCACGATAGTGTTGAAAGTATGGGATACCCAAATACAGCCAAAAGTGAGAACAAAAGACGCTCCCGGAGTATGTGCAACAAGATGGCGCACAACCTGAACTCTAACCTGGTACACATACTATGTTCAGGTTGTGCGCCATCTTGGTGCACATACTTTTGGAGGTCCGAAAAAGCTAAAGAGATAAACGCGGAGGCAGATAAACGAATGTGTTGTTACCTGATATCATAAAAGATGCACATGTTAGATCAAGGTGGTCCAAACCCAGGCCCGCGGGCCACATGTGGCCCGCCGCTTCATTATCTGTGGCCCGCGTCACATTCGGAGAGTAATCAAAAAATCGCATTTCGTGTTGTTTCGTCATAAAATTAATCAGAAAAATCTTTTGACATATTGTCATCACTAATGTCACTCAATGTCATTAATAGTGTTATGGATAGCTGGGGAAACTAGCGAAGTTGAATGATGTGCTTGGCACTTGGCAGTCTAAATTGTTATCTGGATTACTAACTTTTTGGTCGGGAATATATACTAACAATATAGGCATTATAGAAAACTAAAAATCGAATGCGGATTCTATTAGCCTAGAATGACCAAGCCTGATAACTATGTAATTGCACAGTAAAGGTGATTGTTTTGTATTGCACTGTCCACCTATTCTTGGCACTATTGTGGCCCGCGAACAATGCAAAAATAATTTTGTGGCCCGCGGAACCGACAACGTTGGACCACCCTGTGTTAGATAGACGAGTGCTGGTTAGAAATGCCCGTTGCGAAAGACGACCGGTGAGAGCGATCGTTTTTTTTAGTAGGAGTCCTTCTAGCTGCATACCCGCTTGTGTAACGTGATGGCAAGGATAAATTAACAATTAATACGGGAAACAATTATTACCTGAACTAAGCGTTCATATCGCACGTAGCATGAATGAAATAACACAGTTTTAGGCGACAGAGACAAATGATTTGATATAATCCTCTGCGTAGCACACCAAGGAGTGGCTACAACATGGAAGCCGGCCAAAGTCATTAGCAAGAGTCCGATGACATTGACTGAGCAATACAACACATAAAGTCCAACAATGAACGCTTCAGGGGCGAAGGCGAAGATTCAGAAATCTTCGGTGAATGCAAAGCAACGGTGGCCACGATTCGTGGATCGGGGCCTAATTAATACGACATCTAGGATCATCTAGCGACGGCCTTCATAATAAATCTGGTTCAAAACAGCAAAAACTAGCTCGATTGACGCATCGAAGCCAATAACATAACAGCAAGATATCAAGTAAGAGGCTAGAGATGCGAAAGTATACGATAATGCCGTCACCGGGGAATAATTGAGCTAATGCGAAAGCGAGTGGAATTTTTTGTAAGAGTGTAATGAAAATGCAGGGACAGTTGCACTATCAATGTTATGTTATTGTTTTACCAAAATTGTTACCAGTTTTTCAAGGTAGGGGGCGCAAAAGAATCCGCTTGAGAAATGCAATTAAAATTCGGATTGTGTCACAAATAAACTTTAAATTATGAGTCGAATATGGAGTAGGGATATTATAATTTTATTGTTGAATGAAACTAAAGTTGAAATATTATATAAATTATTCAATAAGACAGGAAATAAGATCAATCTTTTGAGTGGGACTGAAATACTATACAAAACGCATGAGCAAATCATGAATCACGTTTCCTGTCATAAAAGGCACACAATCAAAGATAGAATTTTGTATATTTCAAAAGATATATCTCACTGCGTGGCAATACCTTACTTAGGTTGACATGGTGATTTTTAATTGATTGCTTCAAGTTCTAAAAATATTGAGCAACCCCTTATCATCCATATAGTAGGGATGTTAGCTTTTAGTAATCGTTCGTACTACGACAGAAAATTAGTTTTGATGTTTATTTAGGTTCATTATTTACTTGACTGAGCCATATGCTTATATAACATCAAGACGCTGAGTCAAAATTGAAATATAATAAATTCATAAGAAAATACAAGGAGAAGAGAGTAGAGTCAATGAGCCTTTTGGGTTCCATTTCGAGTGTTTGTGAATAAATTGTGACCGATTTGGAAGTGATGTCAGTTCCAATTGCTTATTTTTGTAAACCTAAATGTAACAATTTTTAATAAACTTTATTCCAATGGGAATCCCATGGGATGGGACAAGTATAATTGCTATGGGATGAGATGGGAAGGGGACAGAAAAATATGTCACATGGACAAGCCTGTCAATTTCAAATACAAAATGTCTGTTTCTGGCGATACCATGACGTGCATTTTATACCATATAGGTTTGAGTCAGGGCATGTAGTCTTTGGTAACTTCTGAAAGACATGTCTATGCGTTGCTATTGGAACATAAATAGTGAAGGTTACTATTAGAGAAAGATCTATCGGTTATACTATAATGGAGGTAGTAAATAGGCTATTGTAAAGTATATAAGCGGCATAGCATTTGTGCCATCGCCAGGCCAAACTTTACGTCACTTACAACTATGCATATTCAGATTATGATGTTTTGATTTCTAGTTAAATCGTCTATAGTCTAGGACTCTAGAACAAACAAAATCTTTACAAGGCAATACTACTGTCACGTTCGTTTTCAGAGTAGCTATTTATTATATTGAAAGTTATATTGACACATGTTGCTGTATACTTCAACGCGCTTTATACTCGGATTTCTTATTTTTATTGCGTTCAACTTTTCACCATCTCAAGCTTGTTCGGTAAGTGAATTAAGATAATTGATTCAAATTGGTATAAGACTTATAGTGCGCAAAAAAACACTCATTGTATTGCACGATGTATCATAATAACTTTGAGAAACCGTAGTTATGTGTACCAATATGGAGGTAACTAATTTTGTTCGCCTACTTCACATCAAGTTGTGTGAAGGGACTGAATCCTATGGGCAGGGGGTATATTCACTTGGCTGACAGAGACCGCCCTCAAACTCGCAAAAAGTCGCAATAGAACTGAAATAAGGAAAATCAATATAAAATTATGGCCTAACCCTAACTTGGTACACACACACACTACGGGGGTACCATATAAGAGCCCAATTTTTATCGCAAGGTTTGATCTAAACGCGATATATGATGAGAGAATTGCAAAATTAAACACATTATCCTCTCATTATAAAAATATATATTTTAATTATATTTTTACAGATATGGATACCAATTAATCCTACAGAATACTCACAAACATACATCACTAAATCAGATTCAAATGCAAACACAAGTCGTCCTTTAGGATACTTGGTTTCCACAGCTGTATTTGATGCGACAGGTTAGTTTATCTAATTTAGTACTCATCGATTTAATGTAATATGAATTTATGTGTACATTTATGTTATTTTGCAAAATTCCTGTTGTTGT